ACACACACACACACACACACACACACACACACACACACAAATGCAGGTGAAAAACTGACTCCTCACTTTCTCCTCACTATTATACAGGTTACATTAGCATCCGCCAGAGCCAGGTTAACTGAAAGACCAGATCTATTTGTATGAATAAATAACACGTGTATGCATGCACTTGCCCATGTTCTCTTGCAAAGGTCCCGCTTCCTGCTAAACTTTCCCACATGCAAATATCCCTCTACATGCAGTCACACTGTCTGTGCAACCAGAATATGCTTGGAATATGCATGCAAGGGCGCACGAGCCCCTGTGGTCTGTGCCCCGTGGGACTAAGCCAACAATTAAACACAAGTTTGCACTGAGAGTTTAAGTCTCTGGCCTCGTGCTCTCCAAGTTGCATCCACTTTTGCATGCCCGGAAAAGTGAGCCCACAAAAGTCGTGCGCCTGGTTTTTGCATGCCAGGCAGTTGCAGATCTCTTTGGCAAGGCACATGAGGGCTTGGGATGTACCAGAAACCCACATGGTATCTGTTTGCACATCCATAACTTGAGTGTGCAGGATTGGAGGTTGGCTTGAGGCTGCCTGAAACAAGCAGTTAGTTACCCTTCTGTTTCGGAGACAGCCTCTCCTTTTATTTCTCATGGGCTCTTGCTGCTGCCTCCAGGATGGTGACCCTGTGAAGGGCATTTCAGTCTTATTAATCTACCCCTGCCTGCAATCACGGATATTTAAAACAAAATTGAGTGTGGCTGCCATTCGTCTTGGCTTTGCTAAGCCTTGTGCTCTCTTAGCCATGATATTTTGGGCTGGGGACTTGCTGACCTCTAATGTGGCTCTAATTGCCGTCTCAAATGTCCATAGCTGTGCAGTTAACTCCTGTGGTCATCATCTCATTAACAGAGTATAAGAAGTCAGTGAGAGCGAGAAAGAAAGTCAAAGTGGCCCAGGCTCCAGCTGATGCACCAGGAATGGCAAAGGAAACAGACAACAGCCGCCCGGCTTCCAGCAACGAGGAATTGTAACAGAGAGCTGACACTGTAGTCCTTGGACCAGGAGCCGAAGATCCCAGCATTTGACACCCAGCTGTGATAGTGTCTCCTTCTGTGACCATAGGCAACTCACTGAACTGCCCTCCTCTGGCTTCCCCACCTGCAAAATGGGAATAAAGACTCTTCTATATCACAGGAGGGTCTGTGAAAACTAGTTCACTGGGACTGGAAACTGCTTTGCAGCTCGCTGTTCAGTGCCAAGTATTATCACTCTCTGAATACACAGATGGTGATGCTGAATACAGGTGATGCTGTGTCCTGGCACTGATGAGCCCCATCAGGCATCGTGGGCAACCTAAGTGGGTTGCTCTTCCATGAGGCCTGCAAGACCAACAGCAGCAGAAGCTTTTCAGGACACTAAATGCTGGGCTGTGCTTGGGGCAGGGGCACTGATGGAAAGCGAGAGGAGTGGCGCAGGAACCGAGGGCTGGATGCATGCCCAAAGGCAGGCGGGGAGGCGAGGCCAGGGAAGAGAGACGGCCCAGATGGTTTCTCTTGGAGCAGGCTCTGGGGCCTGGGAAAGGTCAAGCCTGTAAGTCAGAGCTGCAGCTCTTGCCCAGCAGACAGCCCGGCGGGGACGCATTTGCACACAGATGAACTGTTCTTCAGTCGTGTTTCCAGTGCGTCAGGCCTGAGCCAGTTTTGCTTCAGCATGTGGCAAATGGGGTTCCCTTCCCCATCTAACTGAACCCCCTGTCTGTAGGCAGCCCTTATTGCAGACAGGACCCTGCCCGAAGCTAGCTTTGAGCTCCCTGTGAAAGGACAGTGGGGCTGAGCAGGAGCTGGTGCCACGTTCAGGCCTTTGCTAGGCTGCCCAGATGAGACCCCAGCAGGCAATTGGCAGCATTGGTCTCTCTTCCTTGGGTGAGAAATAGGCAGACAAGGTTCTTTGGGTGAATGTGATATCTTGTATTAGACCAACTTAAATAGCTGGAAAAAAAAGTTTGTAGCAAGCTTTCGGATTTAAAAACCCTTCGTCAGGCTGAGGAAGTCTCCGCAGTTGGTGTGTGCTCTTCCAAATTGCATTTCTCTCCATTCAACATCTGCCTCTGTGCAGGGTGCTCTGGAGAAGCCTCAGCACTGTCAAGATGCTGAAGCATCCAGAGAAGTGGCCCCGGATCCCAGATGTGACAGGTAGATCCTACCCACAGGACCTAGCTCTGAGCAGACCCTGGTTCTGCTCCAGAAAGAGTTGCCTCCTGGGAGCCAGGAGCCCCATGCATGCCCCTGGGAATCAGCATCTGTGTTACTTTAAAAAAAAAACAGGGGACCGGGGTGGAGACTGTGTCTACGTGGCTCGGTGAGAGGCATCATTATGCCATCCCATGAAAAATAGCTTGGAAAGCAACAGAGGGGCTGTGTAGGCAAAGCTCCCGGCCTTGGAGCAGGGTCACCCTGTGCCACCACGTTGGAGCTGATCCCAGCATGGCTGGGATGAATCCCAGGGCTGCTGAGGGGGAAATAAAATAGTAATCCCCTCCCCATCCTGACAGCCGCAGAGATGGGAGCTGTGGGGACTTCACAGGAGCTCAGAGCCCTCCTGAGAGTCCTGAGCATCCCTGGGGCAGCAGAGTGGGGCAGACAGTGCAGGCAGACCCCAAGCTAAAATCAAATGAGGATGTGCTTGGCACGGAAAAGTGGGACTTTGGAGCAGGACCTGGATGAACTCTTTAACTCTCGTAGTCTGCCAGTGCCACCTCGTGGGGGAAAAGTTGATGGCACTGAGCTTTTGGAGTGGGGGAAGGCACATCCACCCCTGGCAAACGGGGCAGCTGTCCGGTGGGCCACCAGCTGCCTTGTCCTCAAAGCCTGGCTGCCGTGGAAAGCAGACAAAGCCAAGAGAGTTTCAAACTGGCTGGCCTGCTTATCTCCAGCAGTGGGGCAGTCAGGGCAGGCTGCAAATCCTGCCCTAGAAGCTGGGGCACTCTTGGGGTTATCCCTGTTATCTCAGCTCCACTGCTGTGGTACCCAAGGGAACCAGGTCCAAGCGGAGCTGGGTCTGTCCCCACGAGCTGCAGCCACATCTCAGACACAGCAGACATCAGCACAGGCTGAGTATGTTGGCCAAAAAAACGGAGCCAGGGATTTGGTGGCTGCTGCCACATTCAGGCTTTTAAATCGCAGGTCTGCTTGTCACAGGTGCCGAGTGCCTACAGGTCCTGCAACCAAGGGGGGGCCAGGGGGCACGGCCCTTCCAGGATCGGGCCCTGCCAAGAGCCCTGTGTTACGGATTTACCTGCCCTGATTTTACCCACGCCAAGTGCAAGCACGAGTGTGTGCAAGTCTCTTGCCGTGCAGTCCCGAGCTGGCGCTGACTGCAGCCCAGGGACGAGCCAGGGCATCACCAGGGGCAGGCACCTGGAGAACCAGCGGAGATTGAAATGCTGCCCAGGCCTTGCATCCACCCTGTCCATTAAAAGCAGTGGCAGATCCCCCATCTCCAGGCCTGGTTTTCACCCCATGGCCTTGTCTTCACTAAAGGAAGGGTAAAAACCCCACTAAAGGTGAGTAGCATCTGGCGATCTCCTGTCGTGTCTGCCTCAGCCTGCCAGCCCAGGTGGCTTCCTCCTCCTAGGGTTTTATCTTGCTCACCGTGAACAAAGAAAACCCCGTTTTTCCTCCCAAGGGGAGAAGCTCAATGCATTTTTGTTGGAAAAAGAATATTGATCAGTTCACGAGATGGAGGCAGCTGTTACTAAGAGAGGATTCACGTCCCCAGCTAACCCTGGACAACCCCACCTTGCAAGGTAAGCGCCTGGGCGCGTGATTAACAAATCTTGTTCTTCCAGTGCCACCCACCACTCGTTGTGCCATGCGGGCTTGGGAGGGTCACCACCCAAAAGGCATCGTGGTCCTGGCTGTCCTGTGCAGACAGCACATCTCAGTCCTTTAGTGACCTCTGCTTTATGACCACAGGTCATCGCAGAGGCTGAGGAGCGGGCCTCTCATCTGGGGTGCTCCCCTCACTTTGCCTACTGGGGCCTTGAAGTGGCATGCAGGCGGCACTACTGCCCCACTGCCCGGCAGTCCTAGGGAGGTGGGGTGGGGGAGGCGAGGATGGCAATAGAGAGCGTGGCCAGCTGAGCTATGATGACCCCGGGCTGGTCCCTAGGGAATAGCCTTGCCAGCTGCACTGATCCTATCGGCTCTGGGACCGGCCAGCAAAACGGGAGCTCGCTACCATCTCTCTGCAGCTTAACCAGACCCCAAGACCAGGACCCTAGCAGGGCCCTGAGGGGTGTTTCATTCCCAGGCTGAAGGCCTTTGCTGAGAAGCTGACAGGGGATGGCATTTCTGCCTGCAAATGGCACGGCAGGGAGATGAGCCCAGGGCAGATTAATAAGCTTCTACCTTCCTTAAGCGCCCAGCTGCCGTGTAAGCTGCTAATTGGGGAGCTCAGCCTAGTCCCTCGCTGACAATTTCCCTCCACATGCTCAACCCTCGTTCCATGTAATTGGCTGCTTAACACAGGGCCAGGACTGGACTAACGGGGTTAGATGTGCAGTCTGATGAGCCAGAGTTAGACCAGAAAGCCGTGCCCTGCTGGGTGGCTCCATGGTGCCTCCTAGCCTCTGCTGCCTGCTCAGAAGAGCTGATGAGAGAGTCGCCGCCCGGGCAGCTCCACCAGGCACAGGCCTCTCCTTTGATCGTGCACAGCAGACCTCAGTCCTTTAAGCAGCTCTGCTCATGACAGTGAGCAGAGTCGCTGCTTGTTAGTACCTGAGCTCCCCTGGCAGGGGATGCTCCGGAAATCAATGCGCCTGACTCCTCTGGTCAAGACATCCCATCGTTAAACAGCAGTAGATCGAGCTAAGTGAACAGGTCTCCCTGTCATCTCCATCAAGCACGTTGTCAGGTTCTCGTTGCCAGATGAAATGCCTAGGACTCGGCGGGTGGCAGGCAGAGGGCTGGGGGGGGTGGTTAGGGTTAGGGTTAGGGGTAGGGGGTGCCAACACAGCGAAGGAATATAGAAGACCGGATGCTGTCACAGACCCTGCTGACAGCCAACCCTACCTGCTGACAGAGCCTGTGCCATCTGGGAGACCCTGTGGTCCTTGCCGCTGGCGATGCCTTGCACAGGGTGTCCAAGTGCTGAATCCAGAGAGAGGGGTCCAGATGCAGACTTCTGAGCTGGGGCCAAATATGTCTGGGGATGCTCAGATGCAACTCTGGGGCTTGAGCCTCTCTCCGAGCTGAGGAGAAAGGCTCCTCAATCCATTAACCCAATTCTCTAGCAAGGAGCATCACCATGAGGACAGGCCCGTGACCCTCTTTAGGGGAGGCATCCATCCAGCCTCTGGGGCTGCTTGTGGGAGTACGAGGAGCAATCTGAGAAGGGGATGTGTCCTGAGCAATGGTGGCTGAGTCCCCTACTCACTCACGAGTGCTGCCAGGGGCCGTGTAGTGGGATCCTTCAACAACAGCTACTCCTCTTCCTACACAGGTGTCTAACCAGACTCTCTGTGGGGAAGTATTTGGTCTGAAAAGAAATCCCATCAAAGGGGATGGAGAGAGACTGAGATCCAAGAAGATAAAGGAAGGCTGGGTAGTCAGTGATCCTGATACAGCATGAAGCTCTCTTGAAAAGGGAAATACTGAAGTGTCCCAACAACAGTAACAGAGTCAGCACTTCCTTCCCCGCGCTGACGGCAGCATGTCGTCGCAAAGCCGGCTTGTCTTACTGGGCCATCCCTTTTGCCTGGGTCATCCCTACTGGGACTTTGCAGCCTATGGTCTAGCATCTCCATGCTCTGTGTCTGACAGAGCTAAAGAGACATCGGTGGGGTTTGAGTGAAGTGCTTTCCTGAGCCCATTGCTTGAGTAAAATAAAACTTTATATGCCGCAACCCATCTAGCCTCATCTTCTTCAGCAATCCCACGCAGTCAAGGAAGATCGTCTTCCATGATTGTCCTATTTGTGGGTATCAAGATGGCTAACGAGGCCAATCTGGGATCCACAGACTCTGTTGCAACTCGGGCACGTGTTTCTGTGCAGGGTGGGTGGCTCCGAATGCTTGATTCAGTCCACGACACGCTGTTCCTGCTGCTCCGGCTTTTCCATCTCCTGTTATCACCATAAGGTTTCAAAGTACTGAGATCCTAGCCCCATAAAGCCATTGGTAATGTTCAGTAAC